CCGCAACTATGCGCGATCTTCAACAAACGTTTTGTTTATTTGTTTACATTACGATGTTTATGTTTTTTCAGCAAGATATTTTTGGCGGAAACGGTAAAGCAATGCGGATTGCGGAAGTTGAAAATTTTATGAAATGACATGTTTGCAAAGTGCAAACCGCGATTTTTTAATCAAACAAAAATGTATGACATTCGAGCCGCGAGATTTCATACCTACTGAAATTATATGATATTAGAGCCGCGATATTTCAGACAAAAATAGACTTTTCCAGGCTAGCCACTATGTAATGCTAAGTGCAAACTGCAAACCACGATTTTTTCAATCAAACAAAAATTTATGACATTCGAGCCACAAGATTTCACACCTACTGAAATTATATGATATTAGAACCGCGATATTTCCTAAAAAAATTGGACTTTTCCAGCCCTGCAGTGGTAGTTAGCTATGTGCCAGTGCTACCTATCCAGATTTCCAATTGTACAAGAGTCTCAAAATTCAAAAACTTGTAATAGAAATAAGGAATTCCCTTATTAAATTTCAAAAGCTTTGGCATTTTATTTTGTGAGTCGACAGGGGCAGGGAGATCACATGTCACCAAGTTTGACAGATGAGGTTAGGTAGTAGCCTAGCACTCTCCAGTACCTAGTGTCAGTCGATCAATGTTAATACAAGCGAATTACTGTTTTGTTTCACCATGAAAAATACTCATCTATACTTGTAAGAATAGCTCGAAAATTTTGATTTCACGCGACTTACCATTTTTCTTCTAAAATTAAACTACGCTATTAAATTTATGCTTTTAGTAAGTAATTGCACCTCTACAGATCTTCGAACAAGCCGCTCACAATTTGCTCTGTCACGACCTACTTCTCTGCGGGCATTTTTTAGAGAACGGGAACTAGTTTGCCCAGAGATCCGGGTGAAAAAATTGAAAGTGAAATAAATGGTCGACTGGCATATTATATGATTATTTAAAACTTGCAAGAGTTTTTATAGTTAACTGTAACCTTGTCTTGACTTGAAAACTTTTTCCTCGTGAATCTCTCGATTATTATCTTTAATAACCACATCATTATATAGAGAAGACAGAATTGATTAAAATATGTTTCATTGCTCTTTATCTTTTCCGTAAGAATTTTTTCTATTAGTGATATTATATTGGATGCTCCTCCAATGTGCGCCTAAGAGTTCCAATTTGTTCATGCTGTATTATCAGTAACCATAACAACAATGGATCAACAAATCACCTCGTCACGATTTGTCGCTCGACAACGATTCTGTGAATACCGTCACATTCATAATTAATAATTTGCTACAATCTCTAGTCAAAAAGTTTAATTCGTCATGTCATACCGCGAGCTAAGAAGTAAGTTATGAGGACCGTACTCAGGATAAAAAATCGCATATAACAGAAATGTAGAATTGTGGAAGAAATGGACTATTATTATTTTTTCTGCTGCTGTAATTCACAAAATCTTGTGTGCCGCCAGTACCCACCTTAACTAATGGTAGGTGCTGTTGATTATGTTATTTAAATTTTACCAGAACACTACCGAGCTACCTTAAGCACTTCATAATCTTATATTTTATTAGGCAACAAATTCCTTGCTTCTCCAAATCATCTACATTGAATTTCATGGCATAGCTGCTGAACAATATTTTAATCCCTGGTAGACATTACGGAGATGCTCAGAGCCCTGGGCTACCCTAGACTGGTCTCGGTGGAGAACTTCCGAACCCCAAACTTCCCTCTGGTGGCGGAGGTTCTCGCGTGGGTCGTCAAGAGGTTCGACCCAAAGGCGGAGGACCTGCCCTCCATTGTAGAGACGGAGCACGACCGAGTCCTCTTCATCAGGATGGTTGCGCAGTTTATGGTGAGTGGTGTATGGGGTCAAGATGTAAACTTGAAAATTGTTCCTTTCTGAACACAGGAATTGACCATAGGACAACTTGCAGTATGTGGCAGGGCGGCCCAGTGGTTAAAGTTCAGAGTACCATGATTGGCGCAGAGAGGCGAGGGTTCGATCCCAGCTCTGTGCGCCAGTTTCTGGTCAGAATCGGCAAGGAGGCCGGGCGGTTAATCACAGTAGAATTGTAGCAGTGAGTTGCGAGTTCAAGCCCGCAAAATGCTGTGAATGTTCTGCGAATGTTCCTACTAAACGCTGAAACCGCTATATATAACTATAACTTGAGAAAAAGACTGTTCTAATCCCTTGATGTGCGTTTCACCGTCCAGATCAAACTAACATTTGCACTGAATTCCTCAATGCCTACATAATTAAAATGTACTCAACGCATGCCATTACCCGTACCCATTCTTGTCATTCGTTAGCTACACAATTGAATTCCTCGCAGGCGACGAAGGCGCATGTGCGGCTGAACACCAAGAAGCTGTACCAGGCGGACGGGTTCGCCGTGCAGGAGATCCTGAAGGCGTTGACTTTGCTGTACTCCGCCCTGCAGAACAACGACCCGGACAATGACCTCGAGGACGAGGGTGGCACCACACACAACTTCGACATGTCCAATAGGGTGCGTTGCGTCGGGCTTAACAGTTCTTGTTCATATTCGTAGCAAATAATAGTCGTGCTGAGCAATATTTATGCTGAATAATAATTGTGCTAAACTAAAAATTAACTGGAAATTTTCACCGCTCCGAGCATCATTTTGAATGTATGGGTAAACCCCGCCTGGAGGACGGCATATTGAGACAGTGTTTATGCAGTTTAAATAAGCTTGCTCAATATTATTTCAGTTAATTTGATGGAGTGTTATACAGTAGGTATAATGTTAGTTTTCATGAGTGGAAGCGCAGCTAGATTACGCGGAAGCCGAGCAAATTAGAGATAAAAAAAATGATAACTGAAATATTTCGGTGTAGAAAAGTTAACACCATGTAAATGAGGTAATAATTAATAGCCACCGTATATATGGAGCGCCAATGGGTTGGCATAATAGGTCCACCGTACAAACATGGAGGAATAAAAAATCGACAAGGACTGCTATGGAATATGAATATCTGTTTAATCCGATTAGTGACATAAATAACTCCCCAATAATATAACACAATTTATCACACAAATTACTCATATACAAATAAGTCCCCGTCAATACAACCCAGCTGATGACACATATTGCCCTCCACCAGACAGGGGAACTCAAGCAAATCCGGGCGCTGGCGTCGAACATCACAACGAAGGGCGCCGCGCTCTTCGACCTGCTCAGGAGGGAGGTCAACCTTCGGGTAAATTTTCATCTCCCACAATAATTTTCTTCTAATTATTATATGTGAATACATTGAATTTGAAATATCCTTCAGAATTTTTAAGTTGAATTTTCATACACAAGTGATTGTTATGCCACAGACATAACTTGATAAATTTATTGAACATTTTGAAAGGGAGATGCACCCAAATAAGCTAATTCCAACTTTTACATGATAGGTGATGCACATAAACCTAATAATTTAGTTTTCTAGTAAACGAGCCATCTACTACGAACTAATTTGATCGTGATCGTGCAGGAGGCGCCTACGAACCATCTAATTGCATACGTATTTGATCGTATTCTTGCAGGATATGCGTTTGATTCTAATCTCGCATTAATATGATCGTGTTCGTGCGCGAGATGCGCACGAACCTTTAGGTCACGCAGGAATTTGGCTTTTTTCGTGCATTATATGCGGACAAACCTTCTAATCACGCACGAATTTGACCGTATTCATGCAGTATATGCGCATGAACCCTCTAATTACGTACGAACTTGACCGTAATCCTGCAGGAGTTGAACCTTCTAATCACGCACGAATTTGACCGTATTCGTGCAGTAGATGCGCACGAACCTTCTAATCACGCACGAATTTGACCGTATTCGTGCAGGAGATGCGCACGAACGTGATGAACAGGCCGCTCGAGGTGATCGACGTGGAGCGCGGCCTGCAGGAGGCGGTCGCGGCCTGTGAGGCCGAGCTGCGCGAAACGCAGAAGGCCATCGAGAACGTGGCCACCGATGAGGCCACCGTTGAGGCCAAGTGCGAGAAGAAGAAAACGGCGCTCGAGAGGAACCAGAAGCGCCTCCTCGCAATCAAAAAAAGCCGGTGCGCGGATCGCCTTCTGTGATGTTTTCGTTTTTTTTTTTTTTTTGGCTCAGAATAAATTCAAATTGTGGCTAATTAAGGCTTTCGCCCAATTTAGGCTCCAATGATGATGCCTAGTCAGGTATAAGCATGTGAAGGAGAGAATCTACTAATGATTAAACGAAAATAATTATGCTACAGTGCATTTACCCACCCACAAGGTGCAATTAAGGGTAATTAATTAATTTAATTAATTAATCACAGCAGTAGCGGGACGCTATAAAGATACGAAAAGAACAGGGCTGGCAGGGGACCCTGAGTGACGCTATTAGTATTTATTAAGAATAATAATATTTTTTCTTGTTTGCATCTAGATCCTTATTAAAATAGCTCTCGGATTCCAGTCCTGCGTTCATGGACGAGTACGAGAAGCTGGAAGAACAGCTCAAGATCCAGAATAATAATATTTTTTCTTGTTTGCAACTAGATCCTTATTAAATTAGCTCTCGGTTTTCAGTCCAGCGTTCATGGACGAGTACGAGAAGCTGGAAGAACAGCTCAAGATCCACTACAACACATTCGTGCAGCGCTTCATGAGCCTCAGCTACCTGGAACTGCGCCTCGAGGAGAACGAGAAGAACGAGCTCAGCCAGATGTCCCAGCGGGAGGTGCGTGATAGGCTCTTTACTGGATTATTGTGTTTTGTGCTAGGCTCTTTACTGAATTATAGTGTTTTGTGCAAGGCTATTTACTGAATTATTGTGTTATGTGCTAGGCTCTTTACTGAATTATTGTGGTATGTGCTAGGCTCTATACTGAATTATTGTGTTTTGTGCTAGGCTCTTTACTGAATTATTGTGTTTTTTGCTAGGCTCTTCACTGAATTATTGTGTTTTGTGCTTGGCTCTTTACTGAAGTATTGTGCTATGTGCTAGGCTCTTTACTGAATTATTGTGTTTTGTGCTTGGCTCTTTACTGAATTATTGTGTTTTTTGCTAGGCTCTTTACTGAATTATTGTGTTATGTGCTAGGCTCTTTACTGAATTATTGTGTTAATAAGCCTCAAATATTTCTAGGTCACCCAACGCAAGAGTGTAACTAAAGTCTTGAAGGAATCTCAGAGAAATTAATACAGGGAGGGTTATTAAATTTTTACATCTTACCGCATTAACATATAAGTACCGCTTATACATAATGGAACAGCAAGCAAATATTTTCCGTAAATAATTTATTCAAGTTAAATTCCTTGATTTAATCTACTTTTCCTTATAATTCCCATTGATATTGAGACATTTATCATATGTATCTTGGGACCAGATTTGCATGCCATCGACAAGTGGCATGGCCTGATAAGACAATTGATGGGCGCCTGATAAGACAATTTCACAAGAACACTTTTTGCTACAGAAGAGAACTTTTTAGCAATTGCCGACATAATGAATAGTCTGTTATCTTTCACTTTACAGTCCACTTTTTACAGCAGATCATCGGTATTGACTGAAGGTCTTCCATTTCGATCCTCATCAAGGATATTCGTGCGGTATCTTTAAAGTCCCTAGCCTATTCCCGCACCATTCCATCACTATTTCCATTCCATCGTATGATATTTTCACCACGCTTTTCACTGACTTGGCGATGAATGCCAACTGATTTTTATCCTTTACCACCGTATGTCACTCTCCGGGAACATACAATCGAACGTAAACTATTGAGTGCAGCAACCTGAGGACGTTTGTACGCAACAGAGAACATTTTAAAGTTGTACGTGGCGGCAACCATCAGTGCAAGTCATTTTGCGCTCACTAGAACGTATCCTTTTTGGGAAGTAGGCGCGTAACAATATTGCTCCGGTTACTAATATTATTAATATTACTAATATAATATTATATTAGTAATACTAATATACTACTAAGGCTTGTGACAATATATTGCTCCGGTTACTCATGTCAGGCGGTAGAGGGTTAGGCCATGAACACATAGAAATACACGCACTTTGCAGTCGTCGGGATTCTCAATAGGTAAATGCATTTAAATCACATAAATAAATTTTGACTCGATTCAATTGTTCGTTAAGGTCGTCTGAGGCTTCCCAACAGATGTAGCTACACGGCGCACATGCACTAAACGGTGGATAATTTATAAACGGTACTTACTCTTAAAAAGTCTTGTAGAATTTTGTATCGTTAGGGCATTCCTGTTTCAGCATAGGACAGCGATAGAGAGAAAAGTGAACAGCGTTATTTAATTGTCATCGCGCTGTGCGGGCAAACGACAAGGGAATTTAAAACGTTTCGTACTTCATTATTAGTGTAGGTAAAAATTACTTCTTTGATTTATTGATAACTTTTTTTTTTGCAACGAACTATTGTCTCCCAGGCCGTCAACAAGCGAGTCGTTGACATGAAAAGCCACGGAGGCTTCGAAAATTTCGGTGACGACTCAGAAGAAGACAGCGCAGGTGATGGTGATGAAGACGACGATGATGATGATGATGACGACTACGAGCGCCCTATGAACTCTTTCAAACAGGAGAAACCAGAAGAGAAAAAACTCAAAGGTTCGCAAAACTTCGCATGTATATCAAATTCTTCATATTTTAAAAATTTTCATAGTCACAATCATGATTTTGTTTTTCTAGCGGGTTCATGCTGGCCCCACGGATAGTCGTTTAAGTCGATTGTTGGCCCTCATTCATCTAAAGATGGCCTCTGATCATTCGTCTACGAAGTGTACTAACTTTAAAAATGTTGTAAGTTTTGGTGCAAATACTTATATTGATTATTATTTAAATATTTATCAATATTTATCCGCGTTTGTGTTAAATTCGTATCGTACGTCAGGCGGTGGGCGCGTGTTCGGCAGCATGACGGGGGGTGGGGAGCTGGACTCCCTCAGCGACACGGAGCTCAACCTGGACGACGAAGGCCTCCCCGACGGGGTACGGCCGCCCCTCAAGGGCCTCGACTCTGAGGACCTGGAGGATGAGCTGGGGGGAGGGGTGGAAGCCCTGCTGGAGGAGGAGGGGGGAGTGAGGGGAGGAGGAGGTGTTGGTCAGAGGGGGTTGAGGAGGCCGGCAGCAGCCGCAACGTCCCAAGTTCTCGACGATGAAGATAACGATTTTTAACCTAATTTTTAACGATTTTTAACCTAATTCAATATTAAAATCAATTCGAGTTATGGTAAATTTTAACCTAATTCAATTTTAAAATCAATTCGAGTTATGGTCAATTTTAACCTAATTCAATATTAAAATCAATTCGAGTTATGGTCAATAATTATTCTTGGTGAAGACCCTGTAAAAATTTATCTGATCAAGAATGTGTTATTCTAATTTGGCATCTGTTAAAGTTTAATTTGTATACAAACTCTTGTTGATTTTATAAATGTTTCTAAAGTTATGTATTGAATTTTCAAGGTAATGAGAGGTCAAGTAAAAACAAGAATAGAATTAGAGAAATTCATGTCTATATATATTTATTAACAAATAGAGACTGAGCATTTTATTTTCATCATATTTATTCACGAGTTAATATGATAAAATTTTATATTCTACTCATAAACTATTGATACGGGGCGAGATATTATTATTGTCCTTCAATAATACAAATTAGGCAATAATATCATTAATAATTTTCGAAAATGTCATCATCGGATAAGGAATATTTACAATTCAATGAAAATGGCGATGCGTTCTTTTCAGAACTGAAACACAAAGTCGACATTCGATTATTTTGGAGCTTCGTAATCAAATGAAAATTACATGATTAGCAGAGGTAAAATATTTCTAATAATTACTATAAGGGTCATTAAATAACGACAATTAGGTGAACTAGTTAAACACATCCAACCATTATCATGTAAACCAGTTCAACATATCCAACCATTATCATGTAAACTGTCTCTTATACACATCTAGATGTGTATAAGAGACAGCATGTAAACCAGTTCAACATATCCAACCATTATCATGTAAACCAGTTCAACATATCCAACCATTATCATGTAAACCAGTTCAACGTCTCCAACCATTATCATACAAATTTGCAACCGTCTTATCTATGGTTCAAAATCAAGCTAAGATTCATTTCATGTTATTTCATTTTGCAATATTTAAATAAATAATTTTTTAGTGAGAATTTCCACCATTGGAGATGAAGAAAAACCTTAAAAGAGTGGAAATGTGAATGGAGACAAACGTTTGACGCCTTTAATGATAATCAATACTACCTTAGCGCTTTAGTTCCATTCAATTGTTTGCAAACCTATACATAAATAATTTGATTTTATTCATTATTTTCCATTGATATGAATATAATGTATATTCATGCTGGGAACAGGCAGATGTAGTGTAAGTCTTATTGAATTTTGATGTGTCATTCATAACGGACCCATGAAACGTTCACTCATTACAGCCTCATGAAACGTTCACTCATTACAGCTTCATGAAACGTTCACTCATTATAGCTTCATGAAACGTTCACTCATTATAGCTTCATGAAACGTTCACTCATTACAGCCTCATGAAACGTTCACTCATTACAGCTTCATTAAACGTTCACTCATTACAGCCTCATGAAACGTTCACTCATTACAGACTGATCACTGCTCTGCCTGTCAACGAACAAATGAACAAAACTTCGAAAATAAATCAAATAACTTTTTCGATAATTAAATCAACGAATAAAACTGATTAAATAACTGATATGCTTTTATTTGACAGGGGATTTACACATTCAGAAGGATATGTTCTTGTGAACAAGTCTGGGGATTAACATAGTTGTTTGTTTGTTTTGCATATTTAAATGCCATTGGATTAACTTCCCAAATTGTTAGCGAGTTTGACGAAACAATTATTCACCAAAAATATCAGTGATGAGGAAAAAGTTAGATGTAGTTTCGTACAAATTTTTGTATTCAGATATACATAGTTATCATATAATAGTCATTTACTTAGAACACTGCATCAAATCCGACATAAAAACAGTAAATTTTTGAAAGGACTAGCAGAATATTTGTGCCACATACGTACTAAAATGAGCGCATCTGTCCACTTTGATCAAGTTCTTTATATATGAGTGTACTAGATTACTAAACGGGCGTTAAATACGGTCTTAGATAGATTAAAGTTAGGTAAGGTAGCATGCAGGTACACTTTACAAGGTGAATGTTGAAGATTTAAAAAACTTTAAGTACTAATCCTTACGAATCTAATGAAATTTTTCCAGCCCGCCCGCGGGGGAAAGTTTGACATATTAAATTGAAGAAGAATGTTCACGCAGCCGACGCCTTCTGCCCGACACGATAATTGACAATCCATAAGGACAATAAAGTTCATAAATTACTCTACTTCGGCTCAAAGGTCTACCAACGGCCTCAAACCTCTGGCATCATTCCAGTGTAAAAGCATCAGTTCGCTGCAACCTGGTGACCACTTTCAGCCACCTCCTACGGCCTTCGAGTTCGTGTCGCAATGAATACGTGCATCAAGTAGCATTACAATGGCAACTTCCTACGGCCGTTGGAGTCTTCGAGGACGTTGGGGCATCAAGTAGCATAGTAGTAGGAAGTTGCCACTGTACGTTCATCAAGTAGCATTACAGTGGCAACTTCCTACGGCCTCGGCTTCGCGTTGGAGTCTTCGAGGACGTTGGTGTGGCTCTACGTGCATCAAGTAGTATTACAGTGGCAACTTCCTACGGCCTCGGCTTCGTGTTGGAGTCTTCGAGGACGTTGGGGTGGCTCTACGTGCATCAAGTAGCATTACAGTGGCAACTTCCTACGGCCTCGGCTTCGCGTTGGAGGCTTCGAGGACGTTGGGGTGGCAGGAGGCGTTCTGTTCTTACGTTCTTCCAGTTTTTCCCGCAGTGACGTCAGAGTTGAGATGGAAGCTCCTGTGCCGGATCGCACATGTCTGCCTGTCAAAGCTCTGGTGGGTTTCTTTTTAATTATTAGCCCGTTCATTATGTTACTACACGACGGAACTGGAGGTAAAATTTCTTGTTTTTGGTGATCAGCTGGACTGGTTTGCCTTATTGAGTTTGTTCTTAAACAAATGCTCTCTGATTCGTTTCCTGTTCTGTCATCTACTGAATCAGTTTCACCACTAGTTCCACCATTAATATTTTCTCTCAAGAATGTGTTGACGTCATTCACTGAGTAAAGATCTCTAAAAATATTGAAGTTCTTGATATTGATGGTGTTAGTACGCGAAGGCTCTTTCTGTAGCCGTGACAAATCCGCTGCAAAGTTGCTGTCGAGCTGGTCTCTAGATTCTTCGTGTAATTTGTCGAAACTTGTCGACGGCCCTGGTGATTGTCTTTGGACTTCACGCGAGCAGGAAGGCAAATTCGGCAATGAGTAATTAGCTCGCATCAAATTAAACTTGTTCGCTTCCCACCCCTGGAACGGAGGCGTGAAAAACTCAGGGTCGAGCGAAAAACCTCCTCGCACGAGACCCTCATCCAGGCTGGTGGCTCTAAGGAATTGTTTCTTGTGGCGATGAGTAGACATAGGGTAGGTGCGGGACGACTGCCCAGAGAAAAGTTCTTGTCTGGACTTTAATGAAGGATTTGGCGATAATGAAATCGCAGAAGAGTGATTTGATGTTTGGGAGCTGCGCGAAGTTTCACCGTTGGTCGAGGGCTCCAATGTGTTGTGGTAAACGTCGTGGTGAGGTGATGGGGCATTCAATAAATGTAGGTTTTCTGACATTTCCGTCTGTTGGTGAACTTGAGGTAAGAGAAGAGTTGCCAGGTACGCCGAATAAATGTCACTGATGGAAGATGGGACCTGAAAAATGTACGAATTATTAACTGTTGGCAATTGAAATTTTGCAAGAACCCTGATATATAGTATATCTAAATATTGAGACTTTTTTCAAGAAAATACGTCCCTAATTTTTCCTTGTAAGTAATGGCTGATAAGTTGGTACTGTAAACAAATGAAATAAAGCAATGCATCTATACTGGTCACCTTTCGGCTGAACAAACTTCACAAATGACTCACCAGTCGAGAAATTTTTCAATGCAGTTATTCTCTGACTCAGTCAACAACAACAATTGATTATCTTGAAGAATTTTCAGAGAAATTTACCTGTCGGTTAAACGAAGTGGGTGGTGGAGAGGCCTTCTGCATCTTCATGATCTCCTGAAATCCTGCTGGTCCAGCAGCCGAAGTCTCGGCCAGCAGATAAGGCAAATAATTAAGGTACATGTAGGCCCCATATAGACCGTCATGAGAGCACTTCGTTGCGTCTGCCCAGTCACCTCCACCGCTGCAAGCAAAACCTTTCTGGGGACTTGATTTATGGTCGCAAAGTCCTGGTTTTAGTTCGGTGTTCACGGGCGAAACGGGATGAGATTTTTGAGTTGTTGGCGCATCCCTACTCTCACGATTAAGCTGCAACAATTCTGAATATTGTTTCATTCGCATTTTTTCATAATGATGTACTAATGATAGTTGGGAATTTACAGAAGACGAGATACCATTTCGATTGTTATTGCCGGCCGGAGACCCAACTGTGGAAGCCTCTTGATTATCGGTCATAAAATCGTGTGATTTTTGATTATTCAATCGCTCAATTTCTTGCTGATTTCTTACTAATAATTCTAAAGAGCTTAGATCAGAAAACCCACAGGCATGATAATTATTTCTTCTGTATTCTTCAAGAAAATTCCTTCCGTTTGAGCGCCCCGAACTGCCACCACATATTTTTTCTGGACTCTGCAAACGTCTCCTCTTGACACGAGCGAATGGCGAGGTCGATGGAAGAGACTGGATTCCAAAACCGTTGCAGGGGGTAACCACGGTCCAGTCCTCTGCTCGGACGACATCCAGACTTCTTTTAGTTGGGGGAGAGGGCGGGGAAGGACTTAGGTTAGGTTTAAGTTCCCCGGCACCTGTCACCCCCACCGCCACGGGAGTGCAGAAGGTGGTGTCACCGACTCCAGATTCCAGTCTGGGTCCAGTTGTCAGGTCCATTGGCTGATCGTCCGTGTCAGTGCACTTCATGTTCATCGTGGCGACGAGTGGTGAGGAGTTGAGTGATGTGGGGTGCAGTTGTGTTGTGTTGAGTGGTGAGGGGTTGAGTGGTGAGGGTCGCAATTGTGGGGCGTTAAATGCTGTGGCGTTGGGTATGTTGAATTGTGTGGGGTTGGGTGGTGAGGGTCGCTGTTCTGTGGTGTTGAATGGTGTGGGGTGCAGTTGTGTTGTGTCGAGTGGTGAGGGGTTGAGTGGTGAGGGTCGCAATTGTGTGTTGTTGAATGCTGTGGCCTTAAGTGGTTTGAGATGCTGTTCTGTGGCGCTGAATGGTGAGGCGTTGAGTGATGTGGGGTGCAGTTGTGTTGTGTTGAGTGGTGTGGAGTTTGGTGATGTAGGGAGAAGTTGTGTGGCGTGGAGTGGTGCGGAGGCAGACGAACGTTGTGTGCCACTGTCATCTGCACGAACATGTAAATACATTATCATCCTGGGACATTTTGAGAGTTCAACTAAAAACATGCAATCAAACAGGCAATAATGTTTCGCTGGGCATTATTAAAGGCAAGTAACATCTTGCTTGCGGACTGCGGCCTGCGCCTTTTACTCATGTCGGCTGAACAATAGAGCAGCAATTCATGTAAAATAGCACTTGATTTAGAAACTCATACAAATTGCTATTGAAGATGAAAATATACAAGAGTCTGGATTACAGAATACAGTAAACATTCATTGTACGGAGTTTTGGCACTTGTGAGAAGAGCGTCACAAGGAGGCCGTGCAGCAGTGAGGCCGTGTAGAGCGAGGCCATGTAGCAGTGAGGCCATGCATCAGTGAGGCCATGCAGCAGTGAGGCCATGCATCAGTGAGGCCATGCAGTAGTGAGGCCATGCAGCAGTGAGGCCATGCAGCAGTGAGGCCATGCAGCAGTGAGGCCATGCAGCAGTGAGGCCATGCAGCAGTGAGGCCATGCAGCAGTGAGGCCATGCAGCAGTGAGGCCATGCAGCAGTGANATATCACTCATCCAGCGTTCCCACGACACCCTATCACTCCCCCAGCGTTCCCACGACACCCTATCACTCCCCCAGCGTTCCCACGACACCCTATCACTCCCCCAGCGTTCCCACGACACTATATCACTCATCCAGCGTTCCCACGACACTATATCACTCATCCAGCGTTCCCACGACACCCTATCACTCCCCCAGCGATCAGAGACATGATCTCTAGGTCGTTCGAGACACCCGTTGCTCAGAGTGGCCTGGGACTGCTACCGTTCACATAAATACATTGTCATTTCCGGAATATATATTATTTAATACAACCTAATTATTGCTGATTAAGATCACTAAATAATTAATAGATGTTTTCTCTGGTCCATAATAGATTATTAAGATCGTATCGATTGCATGAAGGTCTACACACAAGCATTCTTGCTTATAAGCGGGTTAGCAGCGATCACTCGGTCTCGCGCTATTCTCAAGCGGGTCTAAATAAAGACCCCGTGGCTGCCTCTTTTTATAGCGACTTTTCCGCAGTTGTTTAAAGGCTAAAAATAAGCCACGCTGCTCTAGCTGATCTCCCGCTACTTTCTGCGAGACTTTGCATGTGACCGCCAAGCTGCATTTGCTTATGGCAACACTGCATGAAAACTGCAGGTGTTATGGTCATTATGGCGACACTGCATGAGAACTGCAGGTGTTATGGTCATTTGCTTATGGCAACACTGCATGAGAACTGCAGGTGTTATGGTCATTATGGCAACACTGCATGTGAACTGCAGGTGTTATGGCCTTTATGGCAACACTGCATGTGAACTGCAGGTGTTATGGCCTTTATGGCAACACTGCATGTGAACTGCAGGTGTTATGGTTATTTGCTTATGGCAACACTGCATATGAACTGCTTATGGCAACACTGCATGAGAACTGCAGGTGTTATGGTCATTTGCTTATGGTGACACTACATGAGAACCATATGGCATGTAGTGTAAGTTGCGCTTTTGCCGTTTGCGTATAACAACGCGATAAATATACATATAAAGTATGATTAATTGCATGAATAAATCTATGCCTTGTTACATACAATAAGTGAATCTCGCTGACGGAGATTCAAATTGGTGCTGTGGACGCGAAAATTGCAGGCTGTTGCAAAGACTGGAGGATGTAAGATCACGTTTTAATTCAATGCATTGTTACATACAATAAGTAAATGAAAGCAATCATGTCGCCTACCATTACGTATAATTTGTGGCACCGTTATTACTATGACTAAATTATATATTGGCGCGTTGTACGAGGCTAACGCTGTCACTGAAATGATAGAAAAGCTCTACGAACCTGTCCCCTGGTTCCATAATCAGGATTATGTAAAATAATCTAATAATAATGGCAACGGCTCGAAACGGTATTCTCGAAATTGTCACTGAAATGTAAGAAAAGCTCTGTAAACCTGACCCATGGTTACACAATCAGGACCAATTACAATAAAATAATAATAATGGCTACGGCTATCAAGGCAGCAGTAAACCATTTATTATAATATTTACAACTTCTCGAAATATTCACTGAAATTTTAGAAAAGCTCTACAAACTTGTCCCCCGGATACATTATCAGTACTAAACACAATAATAATAATTATACAACGGTTATCAAGGCAGCAGTAAACCATTTATTATAATATTTACAGCCGTATTCTCACCCACCTCATTTTGGGAGTGCGTAGCTCACTTAGATACTAGCTATCCTTACTACCTGCCTTGTGATAGCCCAATGATGGGCATCGGGTTAAACTGCTGGCTTTCTAAGTTACAATTGTATTTATTGAATGTGGTCATGTATTAATAGTGTTCAAGATGTATATACACGCCTTCCTCATTCAGATAATGAATATATTATATGTAAATTGGGGATCTGACGAGCTGGATAAAATCGGAGAGATATTCTTCTGTCGGTTAAATGTGATTATTTTATAAAAGTAATAATTGTTCTTGAAGTTAAATTGGACCGAGTTATTAATCATTACTCGTTGTGCGTAATGAAAGTGATTATAGATTCAAAATAATTGTTAAATGCTTCCATTATTCAGAATGGGAAAATTATAGTCTAATTATTAACTCGCTGAAGAAGTGACTTGTTGAAATATAATGTAAACTTGTATATAACTTGTAACTAAACTTGTATATACTATATAATAATGTAAAATATAATGTAATGACTGAGTTAAGTATGCACTACAAACGGAGCGCCAGTTCCACTGAACTGCAGTGTAATTCGTGGCACCAAACACTGCACTGGCACCAGACACTGCAGGCCGTTAGTGACACACTGACACTGCAGGTGGTTTGGGTGTTGGCACTGGTGGTGGTTGAGGTGGTGGTGGCGGTGGTTGAGGTGGTGGTGGTGGTGGTGGTTGAGGTGGTGGTGGTTGAGGAGCGGGTGGATGTGTTGTGTTCGGTGCACATTGTAGTATTGGATGCATGTGTAAAATCTCTGCCTGTGAGATGTTTGTGTTGATGTGTTGATGTTGATTCTTGTTGCGCTGTTTGTGTTAATGGTGTTGGCACGGAAGGAAAAGCGCGATGTGGTGTGGGTGGTTTTGCTGGTGGTGGTATGGAAGGTGATAGTGATAAATGAGAATGTGGTGGTGGTGGTGGTGGTCGTGGTAGAGGTATGCATGGTATGGTGGTGATGGTACAATGGTGCAGGTGATGGCGGTGGTGGTAGTGCCATGGTGCAGGTGGTGGCGGTGGCGGTAGTGGTGCAGGTGCTGGTAGTGGTGCAGGTGCTGGTAGTGGTGCAGGTACTGGTAGTGGTGCAGGTGCTGGTAGTGGTGCAGGTTGTAGTAGTAGTGCAGGTGGTGGTAGTGGTGAAGGCGGTGTACATGGAAGTAATGGAGTGGTAGGTACATTGTGCTAAGATTGACACGAGCTACTAAGTTTTTTTTCGTTATTGTTCATCTTACGACTAATGGTTTGAGTACCTCATTATAGTAGTGCCATCAATGGTTTGAGTGCCGACCATCAGCGTCAGGAGCTTTCCTCGGACGAATGTGGGAGGGAAGGACTAAAGGTGAATCTTAGATTTATTAATATTCATATACAGGGTCCACTAGACCTTATATTATAATAGAATAGAATAGAAGTGTCGGCACTGAATAAATAGGCCCATATGGCCTGTTCCAAAACATTTTTACCTGCTATTTACACACAATATTTATTTATATCCAGTGTGCATGTGTGAATTTCTTATGGAAGTTGCGATGAAACAAATTATTTATCAGATGCTTCAACATTAGACGCTATTCTAAAGAATAGCGTCTAACTTATTAAAACTTCACAGTATTAATGATAAGTAAAGAAAAACTAGACGTATTTTGCTTTCAATATTTCACTTCAATTATCAAGCAGGGGTCGGGGCCGGCGTTATCACTCGTATTTGTATATGCAAAAGCATCTACAAGAACTTATTTAAGGTATTTAATTTTGAGAAAAAGCAGCGATGTAATCCAATAAGGACATTATTATCAAGAAATATATCAGTTATCAATTTATTATTATTATTGCTTACCTTAATTTTGATGGTGCTTATGTATAACATAATTTCATAATAGCCTCGCTGTAAAGTGCAAACGAGAAAGGCATACGATGCTGCAATAAACCCTTCCGTCTGGACGATGTCTTTGCCAGACAATTGCTGCACCGAGGCTCGTTTGCCAGACAATTGCTGCACCGATGCTCGTTTGCCAGACAATTGCTGCACCAATGCTCGTTTGCCAGACAATTGCTGCACCAATGCTCGTTTGCCAGACAATTGCTGCACTAATGCTCGTTTGCCAGACAATTGCTGCACCGATGCTCGTTTGCCAGACAATTGCTGCACTAATGCTCGTTTGCCAGACAATTGCTGCACCGATGCTCGTTTGCCAGACAATTGCTGCACTAATGCTCGTTTGCCAGACAATTGCTGCACTAATGCACGTTTGCCAGACAATTGCTGCACTAATGCTCGTTTGCCAGACAATTGCTGCACTAATGCACGTTTGCCAGAGAACTGCTGCACCGAGGCACGTTTGCCAGACAACTGCTGCAACAATGCGAGTTATTCTACCGTGGATGAATTGCCTTATTAATTAAGTGAGAATTAATTACTTAATGCAATATAGACAGATTTTAATAGCAAATAAAGCAGTTCTGGAACTCACCCAACACGCCGGAGCTTCTCTCACCGCTGAAGTTTGTCCCGCACAGACCCGCGTCTTCGTTGTCCATTTACAAGCCACTGGGCATAGTCTTTAGGATTTTTTATTATTGTTATCTCTTTTTGGTATATTAGGTTTTACTCTTAAAAATTCGACTCTTTCTTTCTCATTTAATAAAAATAATTTCTTTTTATTTAATAATCTTATCTTGAATTATAGGAACTTTCATTCGAAGGGAACAGGTTTCATTTGATTTTTAAAATTTCGAATTGATTGACGGGGAGAAAAAACGTGTGACCTTCCCATCAGACGTCACGAGGAGCACTGACCTGAGAGACCGCGAGGTCAACCCACAACTGAGGTCACGGGGCGGGGTCAGGTCAGGATAGGTCACGGGTTTTTAGGTGGGAGGAGCATGTCGTAGTTAATAGGTTCAGGAGAACTAATTCATTAATATCATAAAACCTTGCAGCTTGCCTTCATTGTATCACCGGCTAATTAGAAAGTATCATTAGAGCAGGAAAAATGAGATTGAGAATAACAATCAGAGGAACACATTGACAAAATTGATGAAATTCTCAAAGTTGCATAATTTTAAATAAATTGATATGAAATTGTAACATGTTAACATATAAGTTGACATGTTAAATAAAATGTATAAATTTTGTTTATATTTTAACGTGTTAAGACTTGAAATATCATTTTAACATGTTAGTTCACTTGCTAACGTTTTACCATGCTAATTCACTTGATAAAATTTTATCTTGTAAAGAATTGTGATAACATTCGAACATGATATTGCATTATTTCGCATTTTAACATGTTAGCATACGTGCTGAAATCTCAAAATATTAATACGTATTTCATCATTTCAACATGGCAACCATTTAACATTTTACTTCGTTTATTTAAACATATTCATACATGTGTTAACATTGCAATTAGATTTGAATTAACCAATTGCTTCCTTCACTTAAATTTGATAGACAATTTATCATAAGCAATATTGTTACCGAGTATATTACCTTCATCGCTTTCTTCCTCCACCATTCCGTTGTGTGTTGTGGTCTGAAAGCCACGCATGCATAATTCGCAACGTTAAACTTTAACTCTTTCTCCATTCATGAGTCAGAACATAATAATTTACGCTCATAATAGAAAAAAGATTAATATTAATATTTACATATTATTTATTATTATATTGAAATATTAATAAATATTATTATTAAATACCTTAGTAGAAATAATAAACTAACTTCAAGAAAGTAACGGCTGGATATGCAGGTAGGATATCTAAAAAATAGGTAATAAATGAAGTTCTTGCGGTGTTTATTGCAACCCACCAGCACATTCCTAGAAACATATCAGGAAATTTTAAAGTAAAGAATGGCGCATGTATAAGAAAATTTCTAATTTTAAATAAATAACTAGTACAGCACAACTCATGTTCAAAACACCATCACCTAAACATGAACTAAACATCATGTATACATCATCTATATATCACCTATACATCCCCTATTTGTCACCTACACATTGCCTATACATCACCTAAACATGAACTAAACATCATCTATATGCTATACATCATCTACAATGTACATCACCTATACATCACATCATGTCATGATAGTGACGCTGACACATTCATGCATACATGTACCTTATACTCCTCATACATCCGGCATTCACCCACTAACCTTACCCACTCAGAAGTGGGTTATATTCTGTGTTTCTCGACCCACAACTGAGTGGGCGCCCACTCAGCCGTGACCGCTAGCAGTGAAGCGTGATGCCGACCACTCACTGTACTAACGCGCTACTTATTACGATACTTGGACAAGCTGTACAAACTAAACAAAATGGTCTGTTGTTTTCTGGAAAACAATGTTTACTTAAAAAATGTAATACGCGCTACTTATTACGATACTTGGACAAGCTGTACAAACTACACGAAATGGTCTGTTGTTTTCTGGAAAACAATGTTTACTTAAAAAATGTAATAACGCGCTACTTATTACGATACAAGCTGTACAAACTACACGAAATGGTCTGTTGTCTTCTGGAAAACAAAGTTTACTTAAAAAATGTAATAACGCGCTACTTATTACGATACTTGGACAAGCTGTACAAACTACACGAAATGGTCTGTTGTCTTCTGGAAAACAATGTTTACTTTAAAAAATAGTTATTTGAAGTACTTCTTGTCGAGACACCGGAGTAGCAAACAGTGCTTGACGGCACTAAAAACTGAAGTGGATTCTATGTAAAACCAGGAGCTTCTGAAGGGACAAGGGAAGGTGGTAGATACGATGGTTAACTTCTCGTGGGCGATACGATGGTTAACTTCTCGTGGGCGATACGATGGCTAACTTCTCGTGGTCGATACGATGGTTAACTTCTCACGGTTAACTTCTCGTGGTCGATACGATGGTTAACTTCTCGTGGTCGATACGATGGTTAACTTCTCGTGGTCGGTACGATGGTTAACTTCTCACGGTTAACTTCTCGTGGTAGGTACGATGGTTAATTTCTCAACGAACGATGAGAAGATCTTAGAAGAAAGGAAATTTACGTACACAATGTTAAGGATGCATAGTTAAAAACTCGAACAAATAATGATAATTGGGTGGATACACTGGAGACATTTTTTCGAAGAATTATCGATGGAGTAAAGGATTATGTAAGGATAGAAAGCTACGGAAAAACCAAAGAAGGAGTGTAGAATGTAAATTGATGCAATAACTGAAATCTCGTAAAATGAGAGTATGTTCGGTAATAAGAGGATGGGATATCTTCAAAGACCTTATAGAATAACAAAAAATTGATTCGGGACCGAACCTTTTCATTTACCAAAATAAGAGTAAATATAGACAGATTAATGAAATAATAATGTGGGTTAACCCAATGAAACTTTTTATAACGAACTTAATAAAATTCTTGCGAATGAAAGTTGACTGAGGACTCGGAAATCGTTAATGAAAGAGCATTTCTAAAGCAGAGCATTTCTAAAGCAGCAACGAGCTCACCAACTCGCAACAAGTTCTGAAGTCGCCCTGAAGAATTAAAATCAGCATAGATCGCATATTTGCTTATTGCCTCATGAAATTATATTATTTCTGGCTATGCTTATTTTCATTCATGCCTTAATCTCTCATTTCATTTTAATGCTCATCGTCGACTGCTAGCTACAAGCATGCCCACTTTATGACTATGGTAATATTTCTATTTGATATTTAATATAAAAATTACCAAATGTTTATATTAAATTTTATGAGTGTATAATTTAGTTACATTAAATACATGTAATATTTCAACACCAATTAAAAATTCAAACTTAGGTTTTCTATTAAATCCTTTCCTCCCTTCAGTGCAATCCTTTTACATTGTCCACTACAAATGAAAATTTCAGGTCGCCGTTATGTCGCGATCCGATAAGTATAGGAGTACATTGAAAAATACATATGAGATAATATATGAGATAAGAGAATATATATGGAATAATATATGATATTGTGTGATAAGCACTTACCGCCCATTAGGTCATCAAGAAAACTGCACCATATTTATGTGTAGTTAATATGTCACATTAAGAAACACACATGTCACATTAGTTGATATGTCACATAAAGAAATACACATGTCACATTACTTAATATGTCACTAATAACATTAATGATCAAGTGCTGCGCATTCACGTGAGGTATATAGAGTGCACCATACAACTGGATCATGGTTGGGTAAAATCAGGGCATCCAGGTCGGTCGCGGAACAGTTCCGTTCTCAGGACCATACACTCAAACAAATGTGCAGGCACAAAAATGCGATCGTTACACTTGTCTTCTTAACCAGCGACATCCGTTAGCCTTTGTGGGGCATGGGAAGCCCACAGTGGCCTGTGTTGGTGCCCAGTCTTTGTGGTCTTAAGAGGATCCATCATCTCTCAAGAAAAGGACTTAGGATCAAGAAGAAAAGAACTTGGGTTCCGACCTAATATAGGAGCCGCCTGAACAACCATGAAAAATGCCCGCAAGCGGTAGCTTCCTTCCTTCTTCCCAAAATTGAATCTTTAATTTTATTGATTTTGTGTAACATTTAATAACTCTTATCCTAATCTGCGTTTTCCTATTGTTTTTTTTTACCAAGACCTTCGACCTGATCTTTTGCCCTACGTGTTATCGACCTCAACGAGCGCTTGATAACTCGATGATCGGTTGAACCATGGCTTTCATCATAACTTCGGACGGCATTGATATGCCGAATAAAGTTAATGCGAGTTCTCCCGTCTACAATATGGTTTGTTTTTGAGTATTTACTATTAATGCATGGTAATTAACGGAAACTTTCTGGTGTGAAAGCTCAATAAAAAAGAACTAGTAAAGATATCATTACGATATAAATTTTATTGAAAAAGACATTACCTGAATTTAATTTTAAAGATGACATCGGACAAATGACGGCTTCCATTATCAATGTCGATTTTAGTCGATTTTCGAAGTTTCGTTCAACTCTTTGAAGCATATATTGGCGATGGCTTGGCGTATGCTGTTCTTCATATTAGGTAGAATATCCTCAACAGTCATTGTAAATAATTTATTTAAGATAACCCCATAAAAAATCACAGGGAGCCAAATCGTGGGATCGGGCCGGCCAAAGTTCGGGTCGTCAATATGCTGCAGCGACTCGAACGGAACTTATAAAAATTCAGGTATTGTGTTCGTTAATAAAATTTATATGTAATGATTTTTACTTGTTCCTTTTTTATTGAGCTTTCAAATCAAGAAGTTCCCGTGAATCGCCTACTGAATATTTCTCCGTACTCGTCCGCTATTTCTACTGAATATTTTTCCCTTGTCGTCCTCTTATTTCAATGAATATTTTTCTTAGTAATAAGCAGCGATCTGGAAATAGTTCTATCGGCTTTGGAACTTGAAGGTGAACACGACCATTTTTTCTTGTGATCTGCTTTAATTATCGTCTGTTCTTCGTAAGTCATGTTATAAGAAGCCATGCCAACCTGTTATCGGTGTTTTGTTACCTAAGTACTCGCTCTAAATTTTCGTTATGTTC